TAGGGCCTGAGGCTGGGGCTGCCCGGCCAGCCGGGCTGCCCAGGGGGAAGAAGGCAGTAGCCTTGCTCGCTGTGTCTCTCCCCGGGCACCTCTGGTCCCAGTCTTTATTGGAACTGCTTTTCCGGAGACTGAAGGAGCGAGTGCAGGTGTGCGGCTGGCTGATGGGCGATGTTTTTGATTCTGGCTTGGTCCAGGCCTTTTTGTTACCTTCAGAGTTGGGGAGCAGGGGCTCCAGGGACCTTCGGATGGCATTCGCTATGAGCCGCAGGGGGGACTTGGGTGGAGCCACACTTTGCTCTACGGGAGCCCGCTGAACCAGGGTCCCCATGCTGTCCTGAGCTTCTCTCCGGGCTGGTGGTGTCTCTCTTGCCATCTGAAGGCACTGCGAGGGGTGGACCGGTTTTGGCACCTGGCCTCCCCGACCATGCTCAGCACTCTTCTGGGAGGGTGGCTCTCCGACTCTGAGGTGCATCCTTTCAGGGAGGGTGTCACTCCAATCCAGTAGCGCAGTCTTCTGCTCCCCAGTGAGGACCAGCTTCTTCAAGCCCGCCTTCCTCTCCTCTTCCACCTCCGACCTGACCTCCTCCGCCCTCCTGGGTCTGACAGTCCCTTTCCCTGGTTCCTTTTCAACCCTGGGGGACAGTTTCTGGTCTAGCAGGTACCTGTCCTTCCCTCCAGCAGAGTGTGGGTCTCTGTGGGTACTTCTGGTGTCCCCAAGAGAGGCCTTGGCTTCCTCGCATGTGTCAGGAGCCAGCTCTGCAGGACCAGCCTGGCTGTCTCCACTGGAGCTGAGTAGGCGGAACTCTGCCCGCTCCAGCACTGGGTCATGAGGCAGGTACAGGGCGATGTCCCTGGGCACACCTTGGCTTCGGGCTCGTCTCAGGAAGATTGGGGTGGAAGGACTGGAATGACCTCTGGAGACCTGGGAGGAGGGGTGGGAAGCTGTCACCTAGAAGCATGGACAGTAATCACAGTTCTTTAAAAATTCCGAGCAAATCTTGGTCCACATCCCCTCCCTTCCCTTCTCCAATCTCATTACTCAAAGTCAAAAAGAATTTTGCCCAAGATGATTTCCAACATCTGTTCTAAGGGACTGCCTTTGGAGCTACTGGGATTTGCCCAGAGACCCCGGGTCAGCACGGATCAGAAGTCCTGGATCAGGCAGTTAGCCATCCAGACAAAAAGACAAAGGCATGGACCCTGTTTTTGACACCCTCCTGGGCCAGTGAGGAAGGGCTGGCCCAGCCTCTGGGGGTGACCAGGCACAGAGGGGACAAGGTCCCTCTTGGCTTGCTTAGTCCTGGTCTCCACCAAAGGGCATGTTCTACCCTAAGCATATTTCTCCCCCAACCAAGAAACCAGGGCTTCTTCCTTGGAGGCTGTCAAGGTGAGGAGAGGAGGTTCCCTTCTGGGCTGAAGCTATGGGCAGAGGACTTCCTAATGAATGACCCTCTAATCTCACACCTTGTGTCACAGAGAAAGCAGCCACTCCCAGCATGCAAGAGGGTGGCCTGGCACAGGAAGAATCTACATGGATTCTAGAAGGAGTGGCTGTGCCCTGCCAAGAGTCTGGAGGGACAGGCTTCCCAGTGCCCACAGCTTTGGGGTCCTGTGCCTTCTATTTCCCCAGGACAGGGCCTGGCAGGGCTTTGACAAACACATAGAAAGAAAGAATCCAGCCTGCATCTGAATGATGCATTTTCTGCTCGAGGTAGACATTGCTCCTGAAGTTCTTAGAAGCTATCAATGACCCCCCACAGCTGTGCCTGCCATGCTTGGCCATGACCTCCTCATGGCAGAGCAAATGCCCCCTCTCCAATCCATGGACGAGTCCCTGGCCCAGAGTCCATGCCCCACAAATGCCGTTGAGGGACAGGCTTGTCCTTGGGGTGACCAAGAAGGGGCAGGATGAACTTTCATGAACGATGAGGTGAGGAAGGCCTGAGGTGGACCCTGGCCCTGGATTCACACTTGTGGAGGTCTGAGAGGGCATAGATAAAGTGGAAGAAGGGGGGAGTACAGGTAACCCTCCTTCCTAACACCTGCACAGCCCCACGGGCACTTACCTGAGGTGGGGAGGAACCATCTGGGACACTTCCTGAAGAAGAAGATGATGGAGAAGACCAGGAAGATGCAGAAGACAATGAAGAAAGAGGAAATGGAGGAGGCTCCTTTGGAGGTGACATAGCTCTTTTGTTCATCAGCATCAAACCTACCAAGACAAGAGCACACCCTCCATTACTGAGCTGTTATAACCTGATTTCATCATGGAAAGGGGGTGCAAAGTGGAGCTCCACTTCCGTAAGCAGAGTCAGAAAGAGGGAGGTCACAGACTGATTCAGAGGTGCCCGGTGCCCACAGGTCGGGCTTGGAGGAGTGAGTGGAAGAGTAGCAGAGTCCTCTGGGGAAAAGGAGGTCCCAGGATGGAAAGTCTAGGGCCCACTGTATTTCAGACCCACGTGGAAATGTTTCTGAGAGATTTAATAGGGTCTGCAGACTGTATCTTGGAAATGGAATCTACATCCGAATTTCCCCTGAAAGCCACGGGGGTAAGAAGCTGGGGCTGCGTTAAATCACGTAGTCAGTAAAGCATCTGCAGGGACCAGCAGTTAGCATAATGGCTATGTTGCTGAACTCCCATGTAGTCGACCACGGTTCGAGCCCTGGATCTGGTGGCTTAAACTCACTCTGGGCATATGTGCGTGCGTGCCGAAGATCCCAAGAGGAGAATGGAGGAGACAGGATTGAGGCATGGCCACCCCCCTGGGAGGTGATTTCTTGCTCTCTGTCTCTCTGTCTCTCTCTATGTTTCTGGCAAGTGCAAGCACCCTATAGAAAAATGAACAAACAAACAAACAACAACAAAAAAAAACTCTACAAAAAATAAAATAAAATAAAATAAAGCATCTGTGGTTTCTTCCCATAGGATGCCGGACTATTTGCTGGGGACACGGACAGAGAAACCATTCTCTTCTAATGAAAAGGGCTCCTTCCCTCTCCCTTCTCACCTGTGTGCCCAGGGGCTCCCAGACAAGATGCTCAGTTAGGGATTTGAAAAGAACACGGGAAGGAGGCTCTAGTGTGTATTGAACACCTGAAGCACATGGAGTGGGGGCCGTGCCAAGCTCCTGTTGGTCAGGGAGCGAGCAGGCACAGGAACGTGGCTGGGCCCCGGCAACTGTGGAGCTGAAGTGGTCTGGTCTGGTTGGAGAATGCCGACAGCTGCAGCCTGGAGGACCCCTCAAGCTCCTGTGCCCTCCCCCAATCCCTCTCTCCTCGTTCCCCCTCACGGATGGTAACCTGAAATCTAAAATCACCAACATTTTTGCTTTCACACTGGGCTACTTCAGATACTTAGTTCTCAAATAGATTTAAAAAAACGCCATGCACCCTTTCAGACCGGCCCAAAATTCAGACCCTGAATTCGGCCCAACCAGCTCTCTCCTGGACCACAGCTGGCCACACATGGTGGGTGTTCCCCAGAAACTTCCCAGACCACCACCCCTGACTCGCCCACTCCCTTGTCTGACTCCCCACCTTGGCCGCTCAGCTAACCATGCAGACTTTCCTCTGAGGTGCCGGCCTTCAGACCTTAGCACGCTTCTTAGCTCAAACCCCTGGTCTCGGCTTCCCCAGAGCAGCTTCCTCTCAGGGACCTGTACACACCAGGCCAAACTCAAGTCCCACCCCCAAGAAGAGTTCCACAGGAAGGCCCTCACGGGGAGGTGTTCCATGTCCTGTCCTGCTTTCCCCCTTCACAAATGCCGCTTGTCAGACGGACTATGGATCCCAGTCTTGGCTACCACACCCTGAAGGTCAGGAAGCTCCTGCAGGGAAGCCCCCGGGTGCTTCAGAGGCAGAGGTAGCTCCAGAACAGATATGATCTGAGGGTGGGCGGAAGGGGCTGCTGGGAGAAAGGTCCCTGGCTGCAGGACTGATGTGGGGAGGCGCTGGCCTGCCTCCGTTACCCGCACCCCCATCTCAGCCCACGATGGGATGGTTCGAGCCTGAAAAGGCAAAAGTTGTGAGTCAGCTGTCGCCTCGCTTCCTGTCCTCAGCCTGCCAAACTCCTGCCAGATTCCTCCCCCCTTCCTCGCCCCCTCACTCTCTTCTCTGCCATCTTCTGAATCAAACTCAAAGTGTCTCCAAGTCCCCTCGGCTCAACAGACCGCCTTTGTGTCCTCCCGAGGAGCTCTTGGGGGAGCATCTGACACAGTGCCAGGGGCACCTTGGGGACCGAGTCTGAGAGAACAGCCTTGGGGTTCACAGGACATGACCTGGAAGCTGTTCTTCCTCTGTGCTTTCCTCTATTCCCCGCCCCCACCCAGCTCAGGGGTGTCTCCGCACCCAGGATCCTCACACACTGTCTTCCATACGAATTAGAGAAGGAGGTGAGGAGGTCAGGACACAAAGCTCTGCTCAGACCAAGCCCTCACCCCTGGGCTGCTGTTCCAGCCACTGCCTGGGAGGTTAGCATGGCCAGGGAGGATTGGGAAGGCCAGAACGCAGCTGAGAGCAATGGAAATCTCTCTGCTTGAGCCTTGGAACCCTATCTCCTCCACAGTCACACCAGCAGGCCAACACCTCAGCAGCAAGCCCTCCCTGCCCCCCAGTTTCCTCACCCAAACAAATGGGAAGTCTTGCGTTGCTTGGTGGGGTGTTGGGAGGATTAAAGAAGTGCCCCTGCAGGCATAAAGTCAATGGTACATGCCAACAGATGGGAACGCCCTCCCTACCAACCTCTCACACACGGTGGTGCCCAACACTACCAAGGGAGCTCTGGCCCATTCCAGAGGGTGCTGAGCACCTACCAGACTCAGGGGTTCTCTGATTCTTGGACCCAGAAAGTCCTCATTGGCCAATTCAGCCCCTCCTCTGCTGACCCTTTCCTCAACATCTTGGGATGGCCCAGCCAGGGCTGGCCCACCCTCTGCAAGGTCCGGGCTCTGGTGCTACTCTTAGGGTCCCTTTTTGGAAGGGGTGTTGATGAGCAGACATGGCCGGGGTCACAGCCTCTGTGTCCCCCTGGGTCAGGTATTCATGTTCCCTCCTCTCTGAGCCTCCAGTTACGGCAACCTTTGCCCTAGATCCTAGAGGACATTCTAGCAAGCATGGTCAGTGGCAGGAGGGCGCCAAGGGCAGTCACATAGTCCGTCCACTGTCCTGTCTGGGGCTTGGAACTTGAATCAGCTGTGAGGAGCCATGAGGGTCTCTGGACAGGGAGATGTGCCCATGTTCAGCTCCATTTTAGAGTCACCCTTGTCGTTAGGGTTTTATTTTGAGCAAGATAAATATAATCAGAAAGATAGCTCTGGGGATTTTCACCAGGACTGGGATTCCCGGGTGCAGCTTCCCAGAATTTGGAGGTTATCCAGGGCTCAATTTTCTCTCGAAGTCTTGGAGCGCCCTCTAGGGGCAGCAGCCTGGCAGGCCTGAATCCTGTGATCTAGTGCACTCAGCCCCCCCCCCGCCCCCCTCTGTTGCTTGTTTCTTGGTTGGTTGGTCAGTTCATTTACTCACTCATTCATCAGAGAAAGACTAAGTGCTTCCTCTGGGCCAGACACGCCAGACACCAGGCATAGAAATTATTTCAACTCAAGCCTTGCCCTTGAACCTGAGAACTGATAACTCCTTGATAACTAAAGGCCGAGGTCTCCAGGCCCATCCCAGAAACCACACTGCCGTCTCACAGTCCTCTCTTCCCTGTGTCTCCTCCAGGATCCCCAACCCTGCTGTGAGGGTCTCCACCAGGCTCCCTGCTCTCTCCCCAGGCCAGGAACTTTCTGAAGGCAGGTCCTGCACTGGTGGGAATTCCAAAGGTGGCTGGGAGCACTGGGACGGGCTCTGCACTCACACTGACCTGCACCGAGAACCAGGAGTCCAGGGACTTGGGGAGAGGCCACAGCAGGAGAGTCGATGCATGTCTCACACCGGACAATGTTAATTCTCTCTGTCCTCTCACTCTCACTGCCCGGGGCAGTTAGATGACTCAAGAGTCATTTTAGGTTGTCCCCAGACAGTGACTGGCCCTGGGTCCAGCTCTAAAGGTGCTCCTGTCCTAGCCTGACCCATTGAGAGGTACAGGGGAATGACTCACTGGCCAGGAGGAGTCAGCTTTGACTCAGAGGAAGGAAATCCAGGGCCCTTCCCAACTGCAGTAATGTCTTTGCAGAAATCCAGTCGAACCCAAGGCCTTCCTGGGTCTCCCTCTCCTAGAGTCAGGTCGAGGTCAGAGAAGGACTGTGGGCATGTGGGAGGTGGGAGGTGGCATGGACTTCCAATTGGATGGCTTGTTTGCCTCTCTCTCAGGACCTAGGGAGGGAATTCTTGCTCTGTCTCTGCAGCAGGGCCTGAACGGGACCAGCCTGTGTGCTGTGTGAACTGTGTATGTGCCCCTGCACCACCTCGTGGGGACCTGCTGCCTTGGCACCCACCCTAAGCCTGGTTCCCTCCCTGCCCTGCTCTTCCTCTGATGCTGGGACCACGGCCTGCTCAGAAAAAGGATGAGAGCACTGTGCAAGTGTGTGTGCATGCATCTGTGCATGAATGTGTGTGTGCGTGTGCGTGTGTGTGTGCAAGTGTGTGTGCATGCATCTGTGCATGAATGTGTGTGTGTGTGTGTGATGGGCAGCTTCCTTCATCGCTTTGCCTAGCCATTAAACTGAGGTCCCATTTGACTCCAGAGCTCTGAGTCAAATCAGAGAGCCCTAGGTCTCTGTTTCCTCATCTGTGTTTTACAAACCTTCGACCCCACGATTGCAGAGGGCCTCTCTGGGTGGAACTGTAGAATTCTAAACCTCCATAGTGGGAGTTGGGGTGGATGGGGGGGCGGGTCCCAAGTCCTTTAGAAGCACTTCCTTGAGTCAGCAGCGGAAATGAAGTCAACCTTATGTCTGCTTGCCCTCGCGCCCGGGAGGCCATGGCAGAGAAGACACCATGTAAGGAATGAGAACAGCTGCCCTGAGTTTTAGGCAGACAATGCCTGCCCACCCCTCGCCTGGAGAGCTTGTGACTCATTCGACTGGAATCTTCTTCTCCAGTTCTGGTGATTGCCTGGAGTCGGAGACTGGAAGCTATTGGCCCACTGCAGAGCTGGGGTGGAGAAAATAGCGGGGCAGAGAGGATGAGGGAAGAGGAAGAGTCTAAGAGCAGAGGATAAACATGAACTTTTCTCTTATGTCAGAGATTGTAATTGACTAAACCCCTTCCTTC